CGGCTCGTTTATCTCTGCATAGTGAAACTTGCCAGAGCTGTTAACGGCCAGCTCGTTAGTATTAATGTTGATTTAGTAAGTATTTAGGGCGCATCGAGATCGTTATTACTGAACATTGTATCGTCTTTACGTGGTCAGACGTATAAAGGATATAGGTAGGTAGTTAAAACGTCGTTAGTGGTGTTACCTGGACCATAGCTGATTAAGGTATATCATTAATATAAATATACCGTATGATCGAGAAAAAACGGCGTCCAGTTGGCTAGGAATATACATCGACATATTACCGATACTTTATCCACTCCCTCGTTTATTTAGAATATAGAAGGCGACACAAGCTAGACTCTAGCATGATAAATTAGGCAATCTTGCGACTAGTATACTACCTGTTAAGGCTGAACTGCGACTTTATTAGTCCAGTATGCGACTACCCGAACTACTCCATCTTAATCTCCAAAACAACAAAGTGAAAGCCGCCATTTTGTTGAATAAGAAAATGTTTCGTTCCTAAAATAGCAATTCCTGCTTTTTTAATACATTAACTAAATATTTGACTTTAAACAACACGCGGAAACAATCTTTTTCGACTGCGAATAAATTATTCTCATTTTACTAAAAAAAAATTCAAGAAATTTTTTATAATTTCTTTAATTTTAAGGCCCATTAGTATTTTTCAAAGTAGAAACAATACATTTATCAATAAAGTTGTTTGCGTTTGACTTTTTTGCCTTGGGTAACGAGTTACAGAGCTGGTTAAAGTGTTTCAATAATTATGATCTTCAAACATCCTCCACACTTAAATACTTTTGTTTTGATTTCCTTTACTGCCATCTGGCATATGTCTCTAACTAAATCATAAAAATAATATTTTTACTATAATTATCCCAATTTAGGATAAAACGCGACTTAGACGCCATATTATTATAGTTTTGTATTTCTGTGAATTAGGATTTTAAACAACGTTGCAGTTTGTAATAAATTAGGCTGCTAGCCAACGTAAGTATCCAACGTCGTTTCGACCCAAAAATTATTCTCCAAACTAGTGCAGACTAGGGTTGGCACGAGGTTGTGCCGACGTTGCGCCCCGACGATGTTTGGTCGCGTGACACAACGTTGTCCCGACGTCCAAATGCTGCTTGGGCGTTAACATTATTAGGCATTTGCATAAAAGTATGTATTTTGGGTGGTATTTGCAGGCTATTGAGGAAACAGAAAATGTACAGAAATAAATTGAAAATAATATTTATATTAAAACATGTCCTTCAAACTTTCTCAAACATGTCCTTCAAATCCTTCAATTTAATAGCTGTTAGTAAGAAGTTCCACTTCAAATATGCGCACATAGTGCACACACTGTTTTTATTTTAACTTGTGTGTAATGAGTGACATCCTTCTTCAAGAGGTAGCTAATAAGCCATAAACTACAGATCAATCATAATCAGTATTTAATTATTTTAAAAATGAAAACATATTCCACATAAATCATTTATGCAAATTTGGCAGAATATTATTAAATCATAGAAACTAAATAAAATATTACATTATGCTACAAATCTCTAACGCTGTTTAACATTAGGGATTTGCGGTAGACAAATTAGTGAATTTACGTATAAAATATTCAGATCACATTTAAATTGACTTGTCATTATTATTACACGTATGCGAGCTAAATCAATTTCAAGTTATAATGATGTTAACGTTAAATTTAATATTAAATGTGTATAACATGTAACGATAAATAAAATATCTGATTATTTATCTCTTTAACCATAAATGCTTTACTTGAATAATTATTGTAATGACATGGTTCGAAAATAATTCTTAATTAACTTATATTGTCATAGAAAGTGCTGTTGCTTAAATCAAATTCTATAGATTTCTTTACAGATGTTTATTTTGTACGTATTAATGTTAAAGTAAAGAATGCTTTTTTCATTGCAAGATACTTTTATTTATTGATGATATAAATATTTTCAGAACAATAAATAATATTAAAAATTGTTTAATATCACAAGAGGAATTTAATTGTATCAACAGTTACTGTAAAAAGAAATGTTTATTTTTAAATACTGGCAATTGTAAGCTGGTAATCTCACAATTTTGTTAATTATGAGACTCATCTCTTCAATAAAAAAATGGTGACCAATAGAGAAATGAGAAGAAATTCAACCTTCGACCTAGGTATCCAAACTATTTTTATTTTTATTAAAAATAGTCGGCTGACGAACTGCTGGCTGTAGGACTCGAACCCACAACCTTTAGATTGGTAGACGAGAGCTGTACCTCTACACCTATACGACCCTATTTACCTAATATAATCGTCGGATTTACACTTGAAGTGGAACTATATTCATTATAGTTCCAAAAATAAGAGGCGGAAAAAAGAAAGAAAAGGTCTTATTGTTTTTCATTTAATTGGAATCGCCCTATCAAACTTAACATAATAATTACTAAATATATATTATACTAGCGTGTACCAGCGACTTCGTTCGCGTCGAAATAATCATTTGTAATGGTGCTGATAAAGCAAACCAAGAATTTCCATTAACATAAAAACTGGATAAAATTTTCTCACATTTATGTCAGCATGAGTAAAAACAATATGGCGATATTATTATATAACTTGGTAATATTTGAGGGGTAGTTTCATCTCGTTGGAATTTGACTTTCGAAAAATCCGTTTGCCAAAAATAAGCTTTTTACGTCAAGCAGTTTAAGCAGAATCGTGGTTAAGAAATTACCAAACTTTTTGGAACACCCTGTATGAATTTTTAAAAAATTTCAAAATATATAAAAAAACCAAATAAATTATGCTTGTCCAAGCGTTTTCCCGAAAGACTAACCGTTTTTTAAATAACAAATATTGTAATATTTGAGGGGCGTTTTCACCCTCTTGGAATTTGAGATTCGTGAAACACCTCCTTATCGAACCTCTACACCCACAGTCAATCCGTTTGCCAAAAATCAGCTTTAAACGTCAAGCAGTTTAAGCAGAATTGATATAATTTAATATGATTAATATTTTATGAAACACCCTGTATAAATTTATAAAAAATCTTAAAATATGTAAAACAACAAAATAAAATATACGTGTTTAAGAGTTTTTTCCGAAAAACTCACCGGTTTTTAAATATTTTTTTTTAATATTTGAGGGATAGTTTCACCTCCTTAGAATTCGAGTTTCGAAAAATCCCTTCTTATCGAACCTTTATATCCTAAAGTCAATCTGTTTTCCAAAAATCAGCTTTTTGAGTCAAGCTCTTTAAGCAGGATCGTGATTAATCAATGACCAGATTTTTCGAAAGACCCTGTACAAATTTTTAAAAAATCTTAAATTATGTAAAAAAACAAAATAAAATATACGTGTTTGAGCGTTTTTTGGGAGACTTGACCGTTTTTTAAATAAAAAATATTGTAATATTTGAGGGGTGGTTTCACCCTCTTGGAACTGGAATTTCGAAAAATCTCTTCTTATCGAACCTCTACACCCTAGAATCAACCTGTATGCCAAAACTGAGCTTCTTACGTTGAGTGGTTTGAGCAGGATCGTGATTAATGAGTATGTCAGTCGCTTAAGGATTTTATATATTAGTATAGATAATAATAAATTACATACTTGAATTTCAATTGCAGTTAAGGCTTTTCTCGTCATAATATATATCTACTTTGTTCTCCGGTATTTTTTTGTAGTTGCATATAGTAATAATTTTATGGATAATACACACAACAAGAGACTAATCTCAAAATCTTTGTTACATGAAATTTGGTGGCAGCGGTGGGATCTACATATAATTAAAAAATAATTTTTATGGCTAGATTATAGAGAAAAAGAGCGAAATTTGAGGCAATTTACTTAGAAAGTAGTCATGGGATAACTCGAGCGAAAATTCGCTCGAATACTATCGCTCGATTATGAACGAGCGATGCAAGTGACGAGTTACGAGCGACGGACGCAAGCGATCCTAGAATGAAGTAGATTGAAATCCGATTTTAATGTGACATACTAGATACAAAACCGAGCAAATTTTCTACATCCGTATCTAAGTGAGAAAATTTTACAACCTACATCGACAATGCTTTAAATTAAACTAAATCAAGCGAATTACTCGTCGCTCGTCACTTGCTACTTGTCACTTGTCATTCATCGCCGAAAGAATATGTGCTCTGCGCACGCAACTTACAGCAGCGTTTTGCGAGCACAACAAGCGACGGGCGAAAAACCGTATTTTTAAATACAAGCAAAATTTCGGTCGAGCGATCGCTCGATTACGATTATATTATTATGCTTCAAACTCGCTGAGTACTCGATTAATATATATTAATCGATTATTCCCAACACTATTAAAAAGTTGGTACCATCCCCCCTAAGGCGAGACATCTGGCAACACTTAAATCCGTTTGTTTGATTGGGGAAATTATCTTTTAAATTAAATGTTTTTCTTAACACTATTATTCGGTATACGTGGTACGAGAAAACACGGACGAGAAAGTCTGAAACAGACTTGCATGGGATCTCAAATGGTTTGTACGATTCATGTGCATACTCGAATGCCACCACGCGTGTGATTGAATCTGTTTTATGCATGTTATAATTAGTTGATGTGCGAATTTTGTACGAGAACCTTGTAGCTTTTCAAAAGATTACGTTTTGAGTACAAAAATTGCGACAAACGACAGATGGCTTTGAATAATATAATAGAAGAGATAAAAAATCCTCAATGTTACAGTGAATAATTTGATAATAAATTAAAACACGTACGATTATATTGTAGTGTTTGACACTCGAAATAACTACTGGAAACTGGAGAATGATTTGCGTGTACATAAAAATAAGGTAATTTCTATAATTTACTCTAAAAGTAGTAAAATTATATCCTTAAAAATAATTCATTTCTAGTTAGCTAGCGAGTTAGAATCAGCTTATAACGGATAATACTTCAGCGTAAATACCAACTTGGCCCCAATCCAAATCAAATCGCCGATCGAAATTCATCGCTTACCTGAATTCCACGAATCCCTGGTGCAGCAACAATGCCATGAAATCTCCGGCCATGTCGTCGCGCTCGCCGGTCAGGAAAAAGATGCCGTCATACGCCTCCGGCCTCAGTTCCAGGCTCAGCTGGACGTGCTTGTATGCGCCCCTGAGGGCGGGAAACGCCAGCCAGCTGGAGCCGGTGAATCGGGGCGAGTGGATTTCCATATCTGGAAAAAGAGAATGGCTGAGAGTGGAATACAATAATGTGTATTCAGAGCAGTTGGGAATAGTGACAAATGTTTTTGAGGATCAATTTTTTCTGAAATTAATTCTATGATATACAGGGTGTTCCTTAATGACATACTAATATTTAAGGAGGTAATTCTTGTACCTATTCTAGGAAAGCTTCATATGAATATGAATGATAGCACTTCATGTAGGTACCCGGTGGCGTAGAGATACAGCTCTCGTCTACCAATCTAAAAGAGTGTGAGTTCGAATCCTACACCAGGCATTTCATCAGCCGACTATTTTTATTAAAATAAAAATAGTTTGGGTACCTAGGTCGCCTCAGCCTTAAATGAGTACTTGGGATTCACAATCCTGAGGTAATAATAGGCGGTTGAAGCGTAGTGCTAGCCACATTACCTTCCTTGTATACCGAACGGCTCTAGCATGGCAAGCTGCACCTTGCTACTCCCAAGGTGTTAAACGCTATATACGGGAGCTATTATTATTATATGAATATATGTCCTAAACATCTTAACTTTTTAGATACAAGGTGGTAAAATTTTCTATTTTTTTTCAAAATATCTCTGATGGTATATTTGATACACGTCTTCCATGCATCAAAATACTTATTTTGATATACAAAAAGAATTGTTTCATTTCTTAATTTCCTTCCAGCCTATGCAGAAATGATTTCCACACAACAGTCACCCCATCAGATTTTCATCGATTTTACCCTGAAATAAACTGACTTTAATTTATTAAGCAAAAACTATGCGTCGCACATACAGGTATTTTGACTATTTAAGCGGCCAAAAGTCAATTTCGTAGAACTCATTGCAGATGGAAATAGAGTAGACCTGGCGGAAGTTGAATAGCGGCAGAATAATAGGCAACCCTGTATTCAACGGCCAACATGATAATGGATCAGTAATATCAAGTCACCTTTGATCCTCTTTTACATGTCAACGTTTAGTTTGAACAGTGTGTATATTAATTATCCAAGATATACATATATGAAAAACTAAATAATGGATCCTGATATTGCTGGTAAGTGGTTAGATATTATTTAATATTTAAAAGTTTTAAGTATTCTTAAACACCTTTAGCAGTGTCGAAAATCATTGCGTTAGTTTTGCTTTCATTTTAAATAATTCTTTCACATAGCTAAAGGTTTTTGTTATACTTCAGGGTTCGTCCCACATATTTAATAAAGTTCAGTGTCAACTTGAGAGTATATAGAAAATGATTATCACTAGTTTAGCAGCTAATAGCTGCGCAATATTGTGTTATGCAGGTTTTAAATTTCTTTGTGTAAAATGCAACATTAGTAATTCTAGAACAATTTCGATTCGAAGAGTGTCTAACTTTGTTTCAGGGTCGTCAAATGCTCGAGTAGTAAGTCGAAGGTACTTGTTTGATAAAATGAGCAAGATTGCCTACTTTTGACGATAAATTAGAGTATCTTGAAAATAATATTTTGGCATACCAAAATTATTCTGAAGACCAAATAAAACATTTAAAGCACAGATTCTCGTACATCAAGTCACAATTTAAGCAAAGATGGTCAATGCCTGGAAGAAAACTATGCCTGGTTAGAAGGAACGTTTGGGCAACCTTTGGTAGCACACCGTTCAGGGCGTCCACCAAAGGAATTTGCTGAATTAAGCGAAAGAAGTCAACGAAGACGAACTGAAGAACTACGAAGTACAACAAGTAAGGAAATATTGCTTCAGGCAGCACAAATAACACTTCAAACCTCGGGAAAAAGAAGTGCCTCGCAGATGCTCAAAGAGATGGTGATTTCACCCAATTGTGCAAAAAATATAAAACTGCATACACTAAAACTTTACAGGATGAAAAAGACAATACTGGCACCTACTTGCACACTTTCAATGTTTGTTGAGGCTGATCTGACTAGGCGAAAATACGAAATTATTAGAAACACAAATAAAAAATTGTATCCTTGCTATAGTGTACTACAATAAGCAAAACAACACAAAAAAATCGGATAAAACCACTTTTTTGTTTGTGTTTAAACTAAATATACTTTTGGCCGCCGAAATAATCAAAATACCCGTATGTACGTCTAATAAAAAATGTTTAGGAATGAATGGAGTTTTTGAAAATAATTTTTATTTTAAGAGAACTCAGTGGTGTACTACTTTTTTCTCCAAAAATATTCAATGTAAAATCCGTATAGACTGCACTGGTTGGTATTTTGATGCATAGAAGACGTGTATCAAGTTTCATAAAAATATCTGTAATAAATTCTTAGTTAGTTAGAGAGATTGAGATAGAGTTATTAAAAAAGAAAGTTTTTTTTTCAGAAAAATTTACCATCCTGTATCTCAGAAATTAAGATGTTTAGGACATACATATGAAGTTTTTCTCTTAGAATAGGTCCAAGAACCACCCCCTTAAATGTCATTAAGGAACACCCTGTATGCCTAGTAAAATACACCGTATGATCGAAAAAAAAGGCGTCAGCGATGGCTATGAAATGAAAATCGCTGTAAATTTATAAGGGAAATATCATAGATCGTCTTTTCCCAGTCACTGGATGTCAAGAGCACTGGGCAAGTCATCCAGTGCTCTCCTATAAAATTAGTAAGATGTCGCTTATTATTTTTCCCCTGGACCCTTCATTGCATAACTGTTCTTATATAAAATAGTTTTTTTAAACGTCACAAAAGTATTAATTTTATGCGATGTGATTGACAATATAAAAAAGTCATTTTATCGCCTGTTTCACCGGAAATGACTACAACTTTTGATTTTTAAACAGCACCCTCGGTATTGTTTTACTTTATTCGATAGAAAATGGCACTTTGAATAGAATGACGTATTATATGTCAACTTTTGACATTTTCGCTTTAAAGCGTATTTTAAATTTCACTCTAGAGTGCCATAGCTATGTTAAAAACACTAATTTTTAATCAAAGAACCTTGGAAAAATAGGTTTGATCGTCTAATGTATTTCGTGTCTTGTCCTGGCCGGTTAAAAAATGCCCAAATCGTATTTTTAATCATATCTCAATTTTTTTAAATGGCACGAAGGTGGCTCATTAGCGTATTTAAAAAAGCATGTTTTGCGAATAATTTGGTATTGTCAAATACCAAATACCATGAAAGAATCAATGTCATTCTATTCACAATGTCATTTTCTATCGAATAAAGTAAAAAAACCGAGAGTGCCATTTAAAAGTCAAAAGTTGTAGTCATTTCCGGTGAAACAGAAAGAGACCAAAAACAACTGAGTACGTCAATCAATATTAATTTATGTCATATGTTAACATAATCTCGTTTTTTTATCTGAAAGTAATAAAAAAAGTTAAAGGGGTGAGCCACTTTGGAGAAACACCCGGTATAACTTCTTCAAAGGTTTATAATATTAAAAAAATGATATATTTTATTTTCGTTTATTCTAATTATATATTTTATTTCCATTTCCACATTAATTATGAACTTTTTCCATCATCAAGCTCTAAGAGTAACTCGTTCGTTTTTGTTCAAACATTTGCCAGCAATTAAACAGAGAAATTTCCTCCAATTAAATTAATTTATGCCAACTCATCAAATCAACGAACCTCAATTCGTATTCGTATTCGCCTATAATACAAAAATTGCTGGTTTACTGGCTCGGAACATAGAATATTAATTGCGTGTTATAGATATAATGGCCAAAATTTTATGCTAGCTAATCAATGGATGATTAATTAAGCTGTAATCAGCATTATTAGTACTTGTAAATGCGAATTGTTTCTGTAAATTTTAACTACACATGACTTTGTTGCAATGGCCTACAGAAAATAAAAGTTTTTAAGGTAATAAACGCAAAATTATTTTAAAACATTTATATATGATTTGAACCCATAATTGATTTTTAGAAATAGTTAAAAAAATATAAAACAAAAAATTGTAATCAACAAACAAATCTCTGTTGTAAATTGTAGAGTAAATTATTAACTTTGTTATTAGTAATAACGAAGTTGTAAATGTGTAAAATATAAAGTTAATGAAAGCAGGGGCGGCTCGTAGCACTGGAAGATGGTGAGGCACATTAGAAGAGAATTTTTATTAGTATGTATATAGGGTGACCATTTGTACGAGGAAGTCCAATATCTTCGTAGTTGACAAATATATGAAAAAAAAGTTCTATATAAAAAAGTGCATATCCTAAAAAAAAATTTCTTTTAAATTGCAATCGCATTACCATTTTTCTGTACAGAATTGGGTTCAGCATAAAATTCAGCATACATCACACTATTGATTTATTTGAAGCACGATATATGCGGAATTTCCATGATAATTCATATTTGAAAAATTTCATTTTTTAAAAAGTGGTAAAAACCTGGAGTGAATTTAACTTATTGAAATATTATTGCTTAAGTATGTATATAGCTAGGTATGTAGGACAAAAGAAGAAATCCGAGAAAAATTTACATTATTTTATACAGGGTTTTTTTTATGGCACGGCCAACATTGCAATATTATAATGCTATATCTCAATTTTTTTAAATGCAATACACACTGTATATTATTTTTAGTATTTTAGATACCTACAGACTTAAAAAGCGCACATTTTTGTATTTGAAATATTTCTAAATTTTTAGCAGTTGCCTTAAGCCTTATGTAATATAATTCGCAGTATTATACCGTATGATCGAATAAAAACGGCGTCAGCGATGGCTATGAAATGAAGATCGCTGTCATTTTATATGTAAAATTATATGGGAAATGTCATCGATTATCATTTTCAAGCCAACTGGACGCCGATTTTTTTCGATCATACGATACCTATTACATAGGGCTATTGCAACAGTAAATTTTTATCAAAGCGACCTCAGGATATTTTGTCTTATATTTTACTCTGTATGGTAAAATTTTGTTTTTCTACCCATCCTATAAAAATAAAACAAAATTAAATCTCTGTAACAGGTTGCTTTACTTTTTGATTATACGAGTACACAATTTATCTAGAAATGATTCGAATTCG